TGCTGTTAAAGAGGAATAGTTTTGGGTAAGGGCGGCTTTCTGAAGTGTCAGGTGAATTAAATACCACCACCCAGAAAGCATAACACCACAATGATCAGCAGTATCTGTCTAGCTATACTCGTGGGGAGAAGAATTTTTCCTGGTGCAATTATTTTCCTGGGCAGAGTAATTTCTCTACTACCAACAAAGTAAATGGGCAAATAAAGAGGGGAAAGGTGGGGGGTAGGAGAAGCTAGGACAGCTATACATTTTGGAGTAGTAGATGAGGTGACACTCTGTAGTGAGGGTGTGGTGGGGATTCTGCTGAGCCCCCATCAGGCTCCTTCTGGAGTCAAAGGCAGCATCCCCTCCCCAATTCACAAGGGCACTGGATCCAGAGTCATAAGACTTGTTTATGGTCACAGCTGGCTGAAGCATCATGAGCTCCAAATGCCTCAGTTTCCTCACGGGTCAAATGGATTGTCTTGAATGCCCTTTCCAGTTCTGACAACTATTCAAGTGCTGGATGGCAAACAACCCTTGACAAGAAAAATGGCCGTGTGGCCTCTGAGCGCTAAGAAAATCTGGGACTCTGTTATGGGTTGAATGTGTCCCCCAAAAGTTCATGTATTGGAAACTTGATCCCTGTGGCAACAGTGTCAAGAGGGAAGGAAATTGATTACAGTATTTGAAAGGTGGGGCCTTTAAGAGGTGATTGGATGATGGGAACTATACTCTCATGAATGGATTAAATCATTCATGGAGTAATGGTTTAATGGTTGTCATGAATGTAGACCAGTGGCTTTAAAAGGAGAGCACATGCAAGAGCTTTTTTTGCCATTCTTGCCATGTGATACCCTGGTCACCACAGGACTTTGCAGAGTTCCCACCAAGAAGAAAGCCCTCACCAGATGTGTTCCCTGGACCTAGGACTTCCCAGCCTCCAAAACTGTAAGAAATAAATTTTGCTTCTTTATAAATTACTCGGTTTCAGGTATTCTGGGTTTTTGTTTTTTGGTTTTTTTTTTTTTTGTCCTTTTTGAGACCGGCCACACTGCGCTCAGCCAGTGAGCGCACCGGTCATCCCTATATAGGATCCGAACCCGCAGTGGGAGCGCTGCTACACTCCCAGCGCTGCACTCTCCCGAGTGCGCCACAGGCTCAGCCCTCAGGTATTCTGTTAAAAGCAACAGAAAATGAACTAACACAGCCTCCATTAAGACAGAGGAACAGACCAACCCAAATACCAACAGGCAGTCAGGTCTAGCACTCTAGTGACTAGACCCTGCCCGCTCTCAGCTCTGGCTCCCCACCCAAGTCTTCAGGACTCCTCTTGACACAGAGGGTTAGCTTACACCATGCCCAGCTTGGCAGTGCTATGCAGTCGCCACCACGTCCTTTCCTTCTTCCTTGTTGATGGCTTCTGGGCAGTGAGGTCATGGGACAGACAAAATGCCTTCCTTACCCCTCACACCTGGCTGACACCCCAGGTCTAAGTCAAAAGAGGAGCCACAGCACCAGCAGATGGTTCCATTGCTCACATTCTCATTTGAAATCCTGTGAGGCTCAGGCTATTGGCTGCCACAAGTGTTCAGTGGGCTCCTACTCTGTACCAGGCTCTGTGCTAGGCATCACAGGGGTACAAGTAGGAGACATCACCTGTGCTCTCAAAAAGAAAGGGAGGCAAAACCAACACTGCTCACTGTCACTCAAACATACACGCCTTACAAATCTTATCCCCATGGTGCCGCATATGCTCTTAGCACCTGGAATAGCCTTCCTCCTCTATCCACCTTTCTACGTGCCCAGAAAGAGCTGGGGTCAAGACCCTCCTTCAACACCTGTGTAATCCTGGGCAAGTTACCTATTTGTAAAAAAAGAAGACAATATCTATGGCTCAGATATTTTCTCAGGTAAAGACTATACATAACAATGGCCTGTAAAGGCCCTTAGCAAAGCGCTGTCATAGGCAAGTTTGTAATAAATAACTGCTCAAATGAAGGCCTTTGGTGACCAGAGTAGTCCTCTGTGACTTTCCTCTTCCCTGAATTACTACAACAAGAAATGTCTGAACCACTCCTTTGGCCCTTTCAAACACAGTTTCTTCCTGTTGCCAATTTTCCTGCTGTGTGTAGCTCATTTCCCCAAATGCAATGTAAACAATGCTTTGTCATTCAACAAATATTTGCTGATTAGCTAGCCAGCGAATAGTAGTGAAGGTTTAAATTGAACACAATCGATTTGCCAAACATTCAGTGAGACAACAGGAGCTGCTCTGGGAAAGGAGCAAGCCAGGTACTCAGAAACAAGTGCTCTGCCCTAGGGTAGCAACTGCCCAGAGAATCTACCACCCAAGTCACTGAAGCAATGAACCCTATCCAGCTAGATTAAATGCCTGAAGCCATCTGGGCAGTGTTGCAAAATTCTTCTCTTCTCCCATGTCCTTCTGTATACACTCTCTCTCCTCCTGCCTCAAGAAACATGTACCATCAACAGAGGGCATGTGCTAAACTTGCACAGCCCTGGGTGTTATGAGAGCAGCACTCTGCTGGCCCGCAACCTAACTTTCTCAAGGAACCTCAGAACACAGAGAGGAGGTGAGACCAACCTAGCTTCTCAGCAGGACCTCACCAGGAAACACTCCTTTGGGTTGGGGTGGAGGATATTCTTCATCACTGCTGGCTGACGCCAGATTCTGCCAGTGCTCTGCCCTGACACAATCTTGTTTAGGGGGCCAACTCACACCAACAGCTCATGGGAGACCTCCAGCTTCCGCCTAAATCTCCCACCCCCCCTTTACCCCTCATTCACCTCCACAGACTTTGACACTTTCATTTTCCTTTCAGAGGCTTAATTTTGCTTTTACTTTTCTTTTTTGGAAAGATTGTCACTCCATGCACTCGGGAAAGATCCCTTTTGGAAGTGGTACCCCTCATCCAGGAGCAAGCTGGATATGCAATAATTCATAGGAAAACTTCATAGGGCACATAGGAAAAATTCATAGGGTGCAAGAAGCCAAACACATGAGTCAGCTGGAAGCTAATTTTCCCTCCTGCACTCTCAAGTTAGAAGAATCTTCCAGAAGGAACGCATCGGCAGCCATTAAAGACTTCTTACAGACTCAAAGTGGAAAGTGATCAGGGAATTTTTATGATGTTAGGGCCCACTATGTCCCCTGAGATTACCTCCTCTTAGGTGTTTCAGTTCCATGGTCCATACCCTTCCTCCCTCTTGCCCTGACCAGATGTGTTCACATCACTGAAATAGCTCGAAGGGCTGCTCAGAGATGGCACATTCTGGTGATGGGACCAGAAAGGCATGTGGATAAGTGTTAATTGGAGGTATAAGAGTTTTTAAGTTGTGTGTGAAAATAATTATTCAGGACCATATGGCTAAAAGACATACACATCAGTCCATTTATCTACTTCAGTAACCACTTCGTAAGCTGCTCAGGGGAAGAGGGAGGCTGAGTTTGAAAACTGACATCTATGGTTGTACTATTCTACCACATATAGTTGAGTTTATGAAATAGATACCCATAGCACAGAAAGGCAACAATGGTTCCAGTTCTCCTTTCTCTATTATGAAACCTATTCCCTAAGATGCCCACAGTTGTCGTTCAATAACTATTTCAGGACATTCATGTAATTACTATTATGGATGCTCCTTGACCTACAATGGGGATATGTTCAGATAAACTCATCATAAGTTGAAAATATCATAAGTTGAAATGCATTTATTTATTTATTTATTTTTCAAAAGATGACCGGTAAGGGGATCTTAACCCTTGACTTGGTGTTGTCAGCACCACGCTCACCCAGTGAGCTAACCGGCCATCCCTATATGGGATCCGAACCCGGGGCCTTAGTGTTATCAGCACCGCACTCTACCGAGTGAGCCACGGGCTGGCCCTGAAATGCATTTAATACCCCAGTAAACCCATCGTAAAAATCATAAGTTGAACCATGGTAAGTCCAGATGCTCCAGAGCTGACGGTGTTTCAACTTCCCAATAAACCCATGGTAAAGTTTTAAAATCCAAAATCCAACCATCGAAAGTCAGCGACTACCTGTATTATTGTATTTCCTCAATTCTAAGTCTCGAGTTTTTAAAAATTTTAGCATTTCTGTAACAGGATACAACTTAAAATCTCTACACATTTAGTGGTTTTCTTATCCCTCTATCCCTTATGCGTAAATAGGGTATCAAAATTGTTGGCGTTATGGAATCAAGATAATATGTTCTTAGCGCCCAAACCAATGAATTCCCAATCACAAGGAGCAAAGAGGGCCAAACACACACCAAAGGCCTCTGGGTTCATGGGGTTAAAACATAAGGGTCTGAGAGGGAGCACTAACACGGGGAACAGAAATAAAGGATGTGGCCCAGAAGTTAAGGAGGAAGAGACAGCAAGTCAGGAGAGGCCTGGAAGGGAGACAGGAAAACTCTACCAGGTGAGTGTATCCACATCAAAACGAAAGATGAGAAAAGAAGTGTATGTACCAGTTGGGTCAAATAGCCAAGGAGGTGGAGAAAAGTGGTAGGGGCGACAGAGTGAACGTCAGTTCTCCCTTCTCCCCGGCCCTGATCCACAGCAGCTAGGGAACTTAGTAGGAAGGCGACAAGGGGTCCCTGGGCGAGAGGAAGAGGATTGCCACAAGGCTGGACTAGAGGAAGCTGTAAGGTGTCAGTGGAGCATGAGGAGAAACAAAGGAGACCCCCTCGCAGGGATGGGGGTACCAACCTGCCAGAGGACGAACAGGACAAGCAGAGCAGGACCGGCGCCCAGGCCGCAGCAAGGGGAGAGAAGCTCGGGATGCTGGCCAAGGGGGAAAAGCAAGGGGAGCGGAGGGACGGGAGCCAAAAATGGAGCTGAGGGACGTGAAAGTGGGGGGGCGTGGGATGGGCAAAGAAGAGATGACGGGGAAGGGGGAAGCGCACCAGGAGGGAGGGGCCCTCCGGGGGGCAGGTGATGGGGTCGGCCCGAGTGGGCGAGGCGCAGCGGGTACCGGCTTCTCTACCTTTGACGTCGTTGGCCAGGGCCTTCCACGTCGGGGCGAAGGCGATGCAGTGGCCGCACCAGGAGGCGAAGAACTCCACGGCCCAGGCGCTGCGGGAGCCCAGCACGGCGCCGCGCACCGTGTCCGCCTGCAGCAGCGTCAGCGGGTCGGAGGGCGAGTACAGCGCCGAGCGCTGGGCCGCGCCAACGCCCGGCACCGCGAGCAGCAGCAGCGACAGCAGCACCAGCGACGGCGGCGGCCAGAAGCAGCA